ACACACACACACACACACACAATATGTACAGTAATGTCAGTTAGTAGTGATTAGTCCAGTCATTCGCTTGAGTTCATCTCAGAAGCAACTAAGGCACTTCCAGGTTTAAGGGATTAGCCAGTGACATCACTATTGTCTGGGGAATGCCCAGTTGGGGGCTCCTTTCATGTCCCCATTAATGTGGCCTCTGAAGAGGTACCTATCAATCTACTTGCAATTCCACACTTTCAAACTGCTAGGTCAGCAGGGACTGGAATGAGTGACGGGAGCTCACCCCACCATACAACAGCACTTGGATCTTGAACGCGGGCTTGCTGATTGTCAACCCAGTATCCTAACCTACCCCGCTCCTATTAGTCCAATAATTCACATTTGATTAAAATATCAAGCAGATAGATTAATATTTGTCTTTAAGGATATTTCTCTTTAAGGAGAAAAAAGTTAAAACACTGTTCCTCTAATCTTCTATCTTCCTGGTTAAGACCATGGGCAATCAGAAATCTCAGAGGCAAGCAAATTATAGTAGAATCATACTGGCCAAGAAGCACAGACAGAAACATGGGAAATATCCCCAGTAACTTTGACCAGAATGATAGAAAACTACAAGTGTATAAAGGTACTCCATTCATACTAGAACTGTTACTCCAGCATTGCTTCATTGCCAAGGCAAGAATCATTGGAATAGTCTTTGGGATAACTGCTGTCAGTTTTTCCCTCTAATCAGCGTCTTCATGGTGTCCTGATAAAACCCACAGACGCTATTGCAATATTCTTTAGCAAAGTGATGAGTGAAGGCATTTTTGATGTAATAATAATTCGCTTCTCTGTTTTCCAGTTTCATCAATAGTAGAAATCCAATATCACATCTTCTCTTTTCTTCCTTAATAATAGAAGATAACAAAAATAAAAGCTACATACAGAAAGGATGAAATTTGAAATTGTCTATCATAATACGGAAGTGTTCAAAATATTAAACAATTTTTTCTGTACGCTTTCTGTTTTTGTTTAGCTATGAAGATGGCCAAGTAGGCGATACAAGTATAAACACTCAAGAGCCAAACATCCATAAAGAGATCCTCCGAGTCATTGGTAATCAAACTGCTACTGGTTGAAAGGACCTCTTAAATAGTTCTTGTGTTTTGGGAGCCTTCTTCAGTCTCAAAGCTGGATTTTGAACTGAAGAAGACATAGTGTAAAATATATTTCTTTTTTTCCTGAACAAGTTAACCCTTTGAATACTTTTTTCTTACTTAGTATTTCTTATCACAAAAGTTTATGAATATATATATATATATATATATATATATATATATATATATATATATATATATATACGCGCAACAGTAGGGAGACATGTTGATACAATGCAGGTGATAATTGAACAGAAATTTTGATTATTCACAATAAACATACTTTGAACAGGAGTTTTGTGCTGCTATTTTTATATTAAAGATTTGAATTGGATTATTTTACCATTGTATATCTATATTTTTAAATGTATGATAACTACAGAAAGGCATCTACTTCTTTTTAAAAAGTGGAATCCTATATAAATGGAATTACTGAAATATTTACATTTTAATACAGCATAGGAATTAGTTGCTTGAAATTTAATAAATAAGATGGAAAGGTTAGTTGTAATATATTTTCTCTTTATGCAAAAGATGTATGGGATCCAAAATGTTACAGAAAAAACACCTTTCTGTTCTATTGACATAATATATATATATGTATCCTAGCTTAAAATTATTTTATTTATTGTCGGTATAACAGCATGTATCTGAAGGTGTACAGATTTTATTCCGTTAGATGAAGGAGCTTTTAGAGAAAACATTCCTGGTGGATTCGATCAATACATCTCTCTTAAATTCTTGGGAAGACATTTTTTGCGCCCTGTAAGTGCATAAGAGTTTAGTTAATGTCTGATTGTGTCCATGCTACCTTTATGAAAATTTCAAATTATTATAGGCAAAGCATTGAGTTTTTTACAGGTCAAAAAGTTCTGTTTTCTTTGAATTTTTGCCACAACCATATAGCAATATTCATGTAACAACAAAAAAAGAAACCATGAGCAGAAGTTCTAGAAACCTAACTGCAAACCGTTTACCATTTCTCCCCCCCAATGAAAACATGCTTTTGGATGTACAATCTTTTACATTTCACTGTGCACACATAAATGGTAAAAATCACATTGATCCTATTTGCAGAGCTGTTTCACATGGAACATGTAATTTGTGCATATATTTGTATAGTGGGGTAGCTAATGAACCTTGGATATGTGCTCCCCTTTTTTTAATCTCTGTGAACTAGACTCACACATATGCAGAGTAGTTTGTACTGATTCATTGTTTTTCTCAGGATACAAAACAATTTGTGGCTACTTGCAATTATCTTGATACACAAAGAAGAATCTATGCCCAAGAAAGGCCTAAGGCTACTACTCGTTGCATACATTACATGTAGTTCTGGAGATTGTGAGAAACAGTATACAACTTCTATCACATTAGGAGCTGAGTTTGTTGTCTTGTTGTCACTGAATTGGGTAAAACAATCGCACCTTAAAGGGCAACCAAACAAGATGGTTAGCATCTTCCTCCTGAGGGTTGTTCTGATTATCTGTTTTGTTTTGACACCCATGAAACCATCAGTGGTTCTTGTCTACAATTTTAGCCTAATGGGAAATAAAATGAAAGTTTTCCTAATGCAAATAACAAACCCAGTGGCTGATAGCAGTATCGATGTTGCCTAATAAAACAGTTCTTGCCTAATCAAACATCTTTCATCTGATAAGTGCTGTAATAATTAGTTGAGAAATCTGTAATGAGAAATTCTCTTTGAAGTGTCATTGCCATTCATTTTCTTTAAAAAAAAACAGGGTTAATTTAACATATTTAAACATTAAGTGACTTCATTCAGGCAGGAAAATAGCAAGTTTGCTGATTCGTTTGATGTTTACAGTAATTGTTGAAGAAACAAGATGAATGTAACTATTGTAGCAGAAACTATCCAAGTACAGGCGGTCCTCATTTAACATCCATTCCCTCAGTGACCATCCAAACTTGTGAGGACACTGAACAAATTGGTACTTATGATGAGTCCTCAAAGTTTCAGCTGTTGCAATGCCCCTATGGGCACATGATTATGATCTGGGTGCTTGGCAATTGGCCACAATTTCTGACCATCTAAGGGTCCCATGATCTGTGACTTTCCCTGCAAGCTTCCCACAAGCAGCCAGTGGATTGTGAGGTCCTTGCTTAATGACCTATGGTTATTTGCTTAACAATGATATAGAATAGATATAGAATATTCTTTATAGGCTAAATGTGATTGGACACATAAGGAATTTGTCTCTGGTGTATAAGCTCTCAGTGTAACAACAAACAACAAGATGATATAATAATCATAAAATACCAATGAAAAAAGATAATAGGAAAGATGAAAAGGATAATATGGTTACTGGGACTGGCATTTTAAGTGGTGCTATCACATGATGTACAAAGCAATGGAAATTCTGATCCCACTGGCCATCAATAAATAAGGACTACTTGTAGAAACAATTGGTCACATTCATATATATGTGTACAGTGTAGACATGTTCAGCTAAAATGGCTTATAGTTGTATCTGGATTGCAAATATGGCCATAGCATATTAGGACACATTTCAAATTCTACACATTCAGTGCTAAAGTGTCTTTATAAGCAGTTGAGATTCATGAATAGGTCTATATGTCCATTGATGACTGTCACCCCAATTTAGTTCTATTTTAGCAAACATCTGTATAACCTTTTAAGCATAATTAATAAACTCTAGACATGCCATTTAAATTAGAAATTGCAGGAGTGAATAAAGGGAAAATCTATATTAGGTAATGAACAAGCAGGTTTTCATTCTAGGCACACTGCCATTGCTCATGTGCTGGCTTTATGACATTTAACCGAGAAATACATCCATAGAGGAAAGACGTCATATGCGGCTTTGTAGATTTTAAATCAGCATTTGATTCCATTTCAAGAGCAAATATTGTGGGCGAAGAAGGAAAACACTGATATAAACAGATGCTTACTTTTTCTCATTCAGTGCTTGTATGAAAATACTACCAAGGATTTACCCAGAGTCTTTTTCACTTGTACTCTTAGCATTTTCCCTCTGGTATAGTCTAATGTCCAAACATTATACAGTATATAAGAGACACAATGATACCTGGCCGAATCTCATAGACTACAGATATGATGGAAGAAATTAGCTGGGCAACAGATTATTTATTTCATTGTTTAGCCATTACTACTTTCAATAGTGGTGGACTATTGGCAAAATTTTCATAACAGAGATTAAAACAATACAAAATATAGATATAATGCATATTGATGCACCACATAAACTATCAGCCATATAAAAACTGAAGGGGAGCCATCTTCCTTCAATCTGCAAGGACTTTCTGGAACATACAGATCTTGATGGCATTTCAAAAGTGAGAACCTTACTCAGTTGTGTTCTGTACCTCATCTCAGTTGATCTGTCTAAGACGCCATTCTAGTTTATTGTTAAAATGTGTCTTCTATATATAACTTGTCCCTCCAGAGCAAACACAATATGCCTCTGCTATACATTTTATACCATCATATTGCTTTTATGCTGTGGACCAAGATTCAGACAAGATTCCAGCGTGCGTTCTATTTATGGACATCCCCAAAGCATTTGCTTTCTGGTAGGAAAAACATGGCTAGTAGATTTGATGATCCAGGAGGACTCTGCTTCTGTTCCTATCACCAGGAGCTAAAATTTTCTTTGACCTGTGCCAGTGCTGCATTACATTTTGCAGCTTCAGTGTTCCAGTTTCCAGTTTTGTACAACACAGCCAAGTTGGAAAACTAATAGAAAAACTGTAATTACTCTTTCCCATAGTTACACATACACAAAGATTATATATGTCTGTATATAAGACAAATAGAAATTGAAATCTGGAGCAAATTTGCAAAGGGTTTTTAAAATATCCAGGGAATTTTTTGCTAGAGATAAGAAGGATTGCAAGTATCCTTCAGGCTTAAATGCTTTCTGCAATTTCATGTTGAGCATAAATTCAAGACAGGCAGTACCTCCACTGGGAAGGAAATTTTATTGAATTTGCACTTGTCATTCAGCATATTTAAACTACAGAAGCCATGGAAATTATGACAAATCTGGCATTTTTAGAATGTTATAGAGCTTTCATCATTTACCATACATTAATGTTTCTCAACTGTGGGAACTTTAAGCTGGCGAATTCTGAGAGTTGAAGTTTGTATAGCTTAAAATTGCTAAGGCTGAGAAACACTGCTATAGATTCTTAACTCAAAATGTCCGGCATATGAGAAATTCAGTACTTGGAGGACCATTATAAGGTTTTTAATGCTTCTATGTTGTCAGTAGCCAAGTACACTCAGCATTTAACTATAAATGGTTCCTCATATGGAATTCTTATTACTGGGTTTGCTATGCTTATATACAAAAATTGAAACATTTTTCTTACTCCCATTCTAACTCAATTGCCACTTGTTTCAATAAAGATTACAACTGAAAAGTCCTTCAAAAATTTGTTTGACAATTCCATAAGCTGCTGGTGCATTTATTGATCTAATACACTTCTCTTGCCATATCTGTAAAAAATATCACTTCATAATGCACAACATGAAATTGCTTTTTCTGCATGTGGAAAATTATTCTTTACTAAGAAGGCCATGCTCAGTCAGCTGTGTCCCTGCTGAGATGATACACTCTCGTGAGATGACTGAAATACATATAGTATATTACAAATGGATTGAAGCACTCTTCTAGTATCTTTGTCTGGCCTTCAGGTGCTTTGAAAAATAGGTTGTTCCCCTCCTCTCTGTGAAAGCTCTTCAAATACTGAAATACTGCTATATGTCTCCCCGGTCCTTCTCTTTACTAGACTAGACATGCCCAGTTCTTCATATGTTCTAACCTCCAGGCCCCTAATCATCTTTGTTGCTTTTCTTTGCACTCTTTCTACAGTCTCAACATCTTTTTTATAGGGTGGTGACCAGAACTGGATGCAGTATTCTAGGTGTGGCCATATTAAGGCTTTATAGAGTGATATTAATACCTCATGTGATCTTGATTGAATCCCTCTGTTAATGCAACTGAAGATTGCATTGGCTTTTTTGGCTGCTGCAGCACATACAAACAGCTCAAGTTGTTGATCC